AATTATGTTATGCAAAATATGAACATTTGGAATATTCTGAAGAAGAGTTTGTAGCACACAGACCATTCACAAAAGAGACTGGAGGAATGCTACAAAAGAAATGGAGGTAGTACTTCAGACCAGTTGAACAGTAGAATGGCATGAAATAGTTCAAATGATTGAGATAACAACATTACGGCGTCCGATAAAACTAAATATTCTATGAATTTCAGCATGTATTTTCAACAAACAAAGTAAAGCGTATTCAATCTGCAAGATTCGTCATATTTGACTGGAAATAGATAAGCAATTACCTATTTTCACCTGAAGAGTACAAATACTACCCCATTCTCCATAAAACTATCAGGAATGTACGACCGTGTTATGCAGAAGTTTCTCAGGCAATTAGGAAACCTGTATAGGCAAGTGAGAATAGCATTTATTGGCTTAATAGCTGAACAAGTAGGTTGTTTAACAAAATGAGCAAATAACGTGCTCCACGTCAAACTTTCTGTCCACTGTTTGGTAATTTTGAGATTTTGCCAATGAGATTCTTGAGGCCTAGTTAAAATCAGTGTTATGTATTTAACTAGTCATTGACTATCCATCAACTTTGCGACAGCGTTTTCACAAAACTTCGCTCTACTTGTTATATTTAAGTAGGAATTAAATTATATCAACTATGACTTTGTCTGGAAGATTTCCACACTCTGACTTGTTTGATGGTAGGGCCTTATATACTTCGATTGGAGTTATCATTTTTTAAGTACACATTTAATCATTATATGCATATTATAAATTCTGAATATCACCATATTAATTAGTTTTAATATTAATTCTTAAAACCATCCCAATTATGCGGAAGATGCAATCGATGTCGAAATTGGCCAAATGGAAAGAGTTTAGAGAATAAAAAATAGATGTATTTGAATCGAAAGTAACCCTAAAGTTGAATTGACATGCGATTTACGCGATTGGTTATTTCTATGATGAGATTTATGCTGTTGTGACGATTAATCAATTACTGAAACTGCTACCATTCAGCAAAATGTTTACTTTGCCGCTTCCATCAAACACTTGGGGTGATTGTACGTGCACCGGGAAACGTCAATCAATAAACTATGAATAAGGTATTCAACAATGATAATGGCTATAAGGGGTGGTAAGAATCGTTAATTTAGATGTTTTCTGAACCTGTTAATGAGAGAGCCATAAATTTTACGACAAAAATGTTCTAACCCCCCACTGAACGACGTTAAGAGGGTATTCTGGTCTGTTTTCTTTTCGAGCAGTTCTGGCCTTCTTTGATGCGCTGGATGCTCGTATCTCGGAGCGGTCAATCCGGGCGTTGTCTCGTCTGATAGCAAATGCAAGCGCTTCTGGACCAATTTTCACTCCCATAATCGTCATCATCTTCAATATCGGTATAAAGTTTTCATTAAAAATACACACAGCGAAAGTACACATAGCAATAAATGTTGCAATTTCAATGATCTCAGACCTGGAATGGACATGCTTTGGAGCGAAAGTCCATATCAGCGAGTTTAGAGACTCATTATTATTTTGAGTTTCTGAACCCAAACATCGAGTCAATAACTCTTCTAATGATAAACTTCGAAGGGTTTCTCAACGAATGGACATGATGGAATGTAGCGTAGACTATCGCAACTGCATTGTAATGCAATTTTGAACCCGAGTCCGCGTTGAGCCGTTCTTGAAAATCTAATCTCTTTGTTGCATGTAGTACACGAAACAAACGAAGAGATCGCTGAAAAGACCGTGAAAAACTCCAAAACACAGTTGGCGTAATTATTATCTATTATTACTTCTTCATCATTTGATCTTCTCAATTTTGCTGTTGATGCACTCGTAAAACTGGTCTTTTCCTGTTCCGTAAATCTATTGCCGTGAAAAAAGATATATATATATATATATATATATATATATAACGGAACAAAAGAGCTTACTAAGAAATATAGATTCAGGTAGTCGGAGAACCCATTATGTTGTCTGTTTAATTAGTTGCAGCCCAACCGGTTTGGATGCCTGCTCAACAAAATGCTTATTTATCCGAATATAATTTGAATTTTAGAAAATCCTCTCGTAGACATATTCTTAAATAATTAAACTATGAAAATATGAAAAAAAAATCGATTTTTTTTATTTCTAGACTAGATTACCCCCTTAATCTTTGGCACAGTAAAACTTATTTTGAGAAATATTTAATTAATAGACAAAAGAATTCGGTTCATACAAGGTAATTACAATTTAAGACAAAACAAATCTACCACAGGTGTGATTTCATCGAAAAATTGTGCAAGACCCCTAACTGTTATGTAATGGCTCCTTTGTTAAATGTCAGTTAATTAAAAACAGTAGTTTTAATCTCTATGAGCTATATGCCTAACGTGTAAATTTGAAATGATTTCTATTCGTTTCCAAGTTCTTTATCGAGTCTATTTTCAAATGTCTTGTGAATCAATTATCCAGATTTCAATCAGCTCAAATATTTGAACCACTTAGTTAAAAATGACCCATAATGTCCCAACGGCTAACGATTTGAAATAATTTTATTCCCTTTTTCTCATACTTTCATGTTCCCAAATTCCCTCCTAAAACAACTGAGTTAGTGATTGGTCAGTTTTTTACACTTGCGCATGTTAGGATGCGCCTGCTTGCTCATAACCGTCCAATCACATTTCGATCCCCCTGATGTGACTTTGTCATTAACTTTCAACAACTTGCTGATCTGATGCCTTAGTCTTCTGACTTCTGCAACCTGTGGAACTGAATTATATTATACTCTATGTCATTCAAGCTTAATGGCATTGCGTTGAATAAATCTGTTGATGCTGAATTTCACAGAACTCACTTCTCTCTCCCCAGTGACCTCTCTAGCGTATCGTTCTAGATTATTTACTAAATCCAAAAGTGGATACAAAGGTTTTAGCAGTGAGATTATAAGCGAAACGGACGAATTGTAGACAGGGTTCAAGAATTCAGTTGAATTAATTGCTCGAAATCTGAAGGTGTCTGTTACCACACTGATTTTGGAACTATAAAAGAAAGCCTCATGCAAAATTTTACTCAAAAGATTGGAGTTTACACATTTCATTGGTAGGTTTAACTTGCCAATAAGTCAACGCCAAAATAGTCTATAAGCCGATAGTTGACTTCTGTCTTTAACTTACTATGATCCCACTGTACGTCATATGCCTTGTGGATCAATTATCCAGATCTCAATCAGCTCAAATATCTAAACCACTTAGTTAAGGATGACCCACAATGTCCCAACGGCTATCAGTTTGAAATAATTTTTTCCCTGTTTCTTATAATTTCAAGTTCACAAATTTCCTGCTAAAACAACTCGGTCAATAGTGTGATCAAACTCTTGGGTGATTGTTCGTGCACCGGGAAGTGTCAATCAATAAACTATGAGCAAAGTAAGTAACAATGACAATGGATATGAGGGATGATAAATAACCGTTAAATTAAATGATATCTACACCATAATGCCACTGATTGATTTCCTTAAATTGCTTTATTTTCTCCGCTTCCAACAGCCCGATTTGCGTTGCACTTAGGCTCCTTGAATTCTTCAGGCAGTCTACAATGCCTGAGATTTGACAATTATATCTGCAATTATATCAATAATTCACTGGTTGATTGGATGCCACTAGTTCTTAACAAACCAATTTTACTTAACATAATTTAGATTCGACCTATTGACAAAAGGCTGAATCAATTTCGATTTTAAGACCACAGGTATTGAGTTATATCATTTAAACAAATCAATTCACATCACATCATGGGGTGCGCAATAGACTTACCTCCACGTGGTGCACTCTGGGATACGAATACACATACGTCAAAATTAATCTATAAACCGCAGTTGACTTCTCACTTCAAACAACCACGACCCCACTCTATGTCATATTTGGACTTCAAACTACCATCACCCCACTGTATGTCATATTCGGACTGGCAGTTGACTTCTGACTTCAAACTAACAAGGCCCCATTGCATTTCATATTCCCTACTTTCACAGTACTCATCTTACCTTTTCTCTGCCTTTGTGATTGTCTGTCTCTTTTACATCTGTGTTACGGGGTGTGCGATAGACTTACCTCCACGTGGTGCACTCTGGGCAACGTATACTCATACGGCAAAAAAGTCTATTAATCGACAGTTGACTTTTGACTTAAAACTACCAAGACCCCCCGCATTTCATGTTCTACTAATTCCACAGTACTCACCTTTTTTCTACCTTTGTGTCTGTCTGCCTCTTTTACGTGTGTGAATCATTATTCTGTCCCCACATCTCGACTTTTTGCCACTTTGGTGTTCCTCTTCCTTTCTGTGAAGCACGAAGTCAACTAAAGGGCTAATGATAAATATCAGGACTTTTTACCACTTGGATGTTTATCTTCCTTTCTGTGAACTTTTTGCCACTTTGGTGTTCCTCTTCCTTTCTGTGAAGCACGAAGTCAACTAAAGGGCTAATGATACCTATCATAACGCCTGCCATTTGAAATAAAAAAAACATCTGTGTTACATTATTCTGTCCCCCCTCTCGACTTTTTGTCACTTTGATATTCCTCCTTCTCTTTGTGAAATTCGAAGTCAGCTAAAGAGCTAATGATAAATATCAAAACGTCTGACATTTGACATAAATAAACATTGCTGACAACCATTTAAGTGACCGTAATAGATTTATGAGTAGGCGTGCATAACCTGGCTCACGTAAATCCCAATGAAAGGTACTTTCCATAATTCATTATTTTCTTGCTATTAGAGATTCACTTAGCTAAAATCAACACTGCTCCTCAAATTTTATTGAATTGGTAAATATAAATCACAATCAGTGTTAAGTAAACACCATATATAACTCAATTATTTATTGCAAATTTTACTTGAATCCAATAAGGGAAAGAAATGATATAGTCATGCAAAAAATCTTGCTATTTCCATTTAATCCACTGCACACACTAAAGAATTCCATTTGGACGGGGAAAGGTGGGTTATTTTTTAGCACCAGCGCCCCACTTTGCTTGCTTATTGTTGCACGGACGTTTCCTGAACTCTTCCGATTCCATATACGTTTTAATATTTGGCAATTGCTAAAATTAAAACAAGGTAAAAAAAAACAATTATTAAATATGACGTTAACGCATTCTGGCTAGAATGTATTCCGATTTGCACTTGTTTGTGGATAATGATAGTATAAACAAGCCTAGTGCGCATAAAATTTTACCTCAAAGCGTTTGAGATAGGCCTTCAATTTGGGGTAGGCGTCAAGACACGTGGAATCCCACATCACCAATTGGTTCAATAATTCACACAGGTTGAAATCGGGAAAGTTTATCTGCAAAATAGATGACAATATCAACATTGAACAAAGCTAATTAATGTGAGTGTGCGTATGTGCGCACGTGTGTGTGTGTGTGTGCGTGCGTGCGTGGCAGTTATAAATTGCGTAGCTAGAAGTGTCAAGTGTGGTAAGAAACAAATTACGATCTAGTAGAATTTGATTAAAATGAATACTGGGGAAATGAACTCACGCTTTCCCCACTGAGCCAGTTCTTATCACCCAGATACGATTCAAAGGCCTTCAAATGATCCGGTAATTTTGCTCTAAAACCCTCAACCAACTTCTCCTAGGAGAGATCAAAATTCAGGGAAAAAATATGCCCTACGTAATTTGGATTATAGCAGAGGGAGACGAAGGTGCCTCTGAAATCCATGATCTGGTTATTGAGCATTCTTAATTCAGCTTTGCGTTTCTTACAGAGTGGAACTAGAAAACCAAAAAAATGGGGTAAAATATTAAAAATTTTTTTTAGATTTTCGTGGAACAAAAAATAAAAAAGAAACTTGGCCTTACGCATGTCATGCTTGTCAGCAAGGTATTCAAGAATAGCCGCAGATTGCGTTATTTTGAGGTCGCCGTCCATGTAGTAAGGCAGCTACCAAGGTGAGGAAGAAATTAATTAAAAATAAGGGGGGGGGGAACTACGTACATTGGGAAAATCAAGTCCCAGGGAGAACTTCTTGGCGGTCCAATCGCTTCGATCAAAGTCAGGCGCTTTAAAACAAAGGCGTGAGACACATCGCTTGAATTACCTGGTCCGCACACATATTGTCTGTCTTCAAAGGCGTCGCCGTGATAATGCATCATGAGTCGAGACATTTCAGCAAGCTAAAAAAAACAGTGGAATATTGTATCCATTGTATATGGTGGTGGTAGTAGTAGTAGTAGTAAAAGTTTGAAAACAATTATGAATTCGGGGAAAAATGGAGTGATTCAAGCACGCCACCTTACTCCTCTAATATCCCAGTAAGCAAGTGTTGGTGCCATCCTACAACTGTCGCAAAGTGAGCTAAATTTCACATTTGTGATTCTTATGTGTATATATATATATTTGCAATGCCAAAGTGCAACCTTGAAAAGGTTGCCTATTGTTACAGAGCTAAATGCTATAATTGTGTGAATTTAATTAGATGAAAATGAATGGTACATATAAGTGGTGGAGAATTTGAAATATGTTTGTTCTTTATGTTGGCAAGTTTCTATGCAACTAGGGTGTGTAACTGATTTAATATTTGAGTAAGTACAGACAACGAAGCCCATCTATTTGAATCTCAACTTTGGAATAAATTTTTTTGTGTGTTTAATTTACCATTTCTGGAGTTTATCGTAGGCAGAAAGTGGCCTAATTTATGCTCCCTAAGTGGGGTGCGCGATAGACTTGCCTCCACGTGGAGCACCCTGGGCAACGTACACTCATACAGCAAAACAGTCTATTAACCTGCAGTTGGCTTCTCACTTCAATCTACCATCACCCCCACTGTAGGTCATATTCGACGACTTCCCCAGTACTCACCTCACTTTCTTCTACCTTCGTCTTTGAAGCACTCGTCTGTTCCCTCCCCCCTCTCGAGTTTCTTTCTCTTTGTTGTTCCTTCCCCTCTGTGAAGCCTGAAGTTAACTAAAGGGCTAATGACAACCATCAAAACGCCTGCCATTTGATATATATATATATATATATATATATATATAAATGCTCCCATTAGTGGGAGGCCCGAATTCAGTTTTCCTCCAAATTTGGGCAATGAGTCAACCCAACCTTACCATCCGGTTGGGATTTAATGAATTACCTATGTTCTTAACAAATGATCAACATTGAATCCAACTTCTTCAATGGTACCAAGGTAATTGGATGTATTGGGAGTGAGGAGGAGGTGGGGTGAACATAGCTGTTGGTTGATACTTTGCACTTCTCCAAGATTTCTTTGCAACCAAGAATAATTCCACAGAGAAATTTGAAACAGACTTTGGTTTTGCCTTGTGCAAAAGATACTTTCAAATACATTTCAATCTCTAAAAGTAGAAAATGTTGGGCACTCTTGTGCACGCTTTTTAATGCCCTAACAGATAATGGCATTTCAAGAACAATAGCCATGAAGGATATTACTGGGGTTAGTAGAGCATCTACTTAAAATCAAGAGAGGAGAGAAAAACCCCTGGTTTCTCAAGACTCCAAATTTTGAGCTAAAGTGCTATATCTGACCGATATCTGGCCTACAAAGTAGAAGATATTTCCAACAATTTTATCCCACTTTTGTTGGTATGCAATTTAAATGTTTAAGTTTCCTGGTTACTAATATTTTATCATAATACTTTTCGCCATTTTTGAATTATTTTTATTCATTTGCATTAGCAGAACATACTATTCCACTGGGGTGTGCGATGGACTTACCTCCACGTGGTGCACCCTGAGCAACGTATACTCATACGGCAAAAAAGTCTATTAACCGGCAATTGACTTCTAACTTCAAAATACTATCACCTCACTGTATGTCATATTCGACTTCTTCCACAGTACTCATTTCACCTTTTCTTTACTTTTGTGTCTGACTCTTTTACATCTTTGAAACACTCTTCTG